CAAATCTCCAAGGGAACTTGGTCAAAGCGAACGTATCAGCTGCGTGCACCGCGTCAGAGAATGTACTCGAGTTTGCAACTACGCGCGGACGCATGTAGGGGCTCTTGGCCTTAGACTCGGGTGAACGGTCTCTCTCGGGCACTTTCTGCGTATAGGTGACCGAAAAAGTTGTACTAGAACCAACATCTGAACATTCAATGGTGAGGTAGTCACCGCTCTGCGCCGATAGAACATAGCGATTCTGTCCCACCATCACCCAAGCTAGCTGACTAATTCCGCGTATGTGTCTTTCTCTTGAAGTGTCGTCAATCAGGTCGAAAACCGAAACATAATCTGTAAAGGTGATAGTCGACTGTCGTGATGGTAACGAGATATTAGTAGCATGATCCGCAGCACGCTCTTCGCGAATAGCCTCCAGCTCCTTTCGTTCGTGTTGCGACTTCATTGCCTCAATGTTCGCGCCAGTGACCAGTTCCCCCGGATCGAGGCCAAATCTGTATTATAATTTCAGCTTCAGTGTTGCTTGTTTGAGGAGCTTTGTTGATGCTTGGAACATGTCTAGACGGCCAGATACTCCAAAATACGTCTCGAGATTCAATTTGTGGTCCAAAAGAGGGAACATGGACTTCGAAAATACGTACAGCGTTGGGGTCGTAACAATCCCGGCTTCGAGAGATACAACCATGTCGATGATATGGCAATTTTCCTTTCCTGGGTAAAGGCGCATGCCACGCCCAATCATCTGTACTAGTAGGTTACGTGATTTGGTCGGCCTCGCGAGAACAACGCAATCGATGTTCGGAATATCTGTCCCTTCAGTAAAGACACCACAGTTTAGAAGTACCGGATACTGCCGGTTTCTAAAGGCATCGAGCCTTTCGCCGCGGATTCGCTTTGGCGTGTTGCCTGTGACAAATTTTGCCTCAATACCATGTCTGCGGAAGGTTGCCGTCAAGTCTGAAACGTGAGCTAGGTCAACACAGAATACTAATGTAGATTTTCGGTCGGCGGCTCTAGCCATCCACGCTCTCACGGTGATCTCATTCGTTTCCGGAGTATTAACTGCTCTAGACAGATCTCCAACCTGGAAGTCCCCAGCAAGTCCCTTTTTAACGCCAGAAACATCTGCCTTGGATTGAACAGTGGTAAATATAACATCGGAGAGCCATTTCTCGCCAATCATGTCGACATAGTCTCTGAGCACCTTTCTCAGCATATAGAATCGATCTCAACAACGTCGCTAAACGTACTTGTGATATACTATGTGATCAATAGCGTCGCTAAGTCGTAATCCATCGAAGCGCGACAGTGTTGCTGATACCCCAACCAGAGCTGCTGGTGCTGGGGAGTCGGCAGTGGTCGAGTCTTTCAGGAGTAATCCAAAGTAAGTTAAAGTCTCCATGAATTTGGCAGCCACAATATGATGCGCCTCATCTACCAGGACAAGCTTAAATCTTTTGGGGTCAAACTTCAGCATCCTGTCCCCTGAGACGATGCTCCAGATAGAAGCAACGGTTATGTCTGCACCACCAGAGGCATGCGAACTGCCCATTTCGATCTCGATAGACTTGGATGGATACGCGTTTTTGCAATGTCGAGCGGCTTGTTCGACAAGCTCGCGGCGATGTACCAGGATCAGAGTCTGAGTGGCATCTGGCGTTGGTGCTTGGATGCGATCAATGAGTTGTGTGAAGATGACCTGTCAATCGATCAGTGATTGATTGTCTGGACCCTCGTCTTGGCGAAATACTGTTTTGCCGCTGCCTGTAACGATTGCAGAGTCAGCATCGGCTTTCACAAGAGGATTTCGAGTTTTGAGATATGTCTACAAAGAAAGCGGCTTGTTCGCTGCAGTCAAAGGGGTAGGAAACCCCACTATATCCTCTTACGACACAAATTCCCAATAGCCGAATTCAATGCTCCCGAATGCTTCAAAATAGGTGTTGATCTCCAGAACCTGATTTAAGAAGCCACGGCAAGATGTTCCCCATATCATATCAAGTAGAAGCTCGAGTAGAGCAGACAATCCGGAAGCGATGTCATCAACATTTGGCAGGCATTCAACTCTTGGGCTCCATAACGTGTGTCAAAACTCAAAGCTTGGTGTTGAGAGGAAGTCTGGAATCTGCAAGAACAATACGTACCAGTAGCTAAAGAGATGCCAAGCCTCTTGTGGCCCCTTTCAAGGTAAGAAAGGACGGATTTTATGCATTCTTCTTGGTATTCTCGGAGGCGTATCGATGAGACCAGCTCTGGTGCAATGGCGGGCGCTAAAGTTGCAAGTCGCCGTACATCGATCATTGGAATACATGTCGGACGAAGTCTGAGGCACGTAATTACGCTCAGAGGTATTCGCTGCATGCCTCATGTTGCTTGACTTATTGAGTGTAAGCGTGTTCGCAGGACGAGCAAGAGCGATCGTATTAAAGTAGCGGCTATTGGTAGGGCTGAGGCTTGGCAAGAATCTCGTCTAATGAGCACCACCGGTACTGGTCTGCATCGATCCCCGATAATCATGTGAGAAGAACACTGAAATTGAACCTTCGATGCTCATCAACTCCATCTTGTCATTATTTCGTTGATATCTCGAGGGTTCAAATACTGATGTTTAGCCAGCAACGGCAAGTAACACATTCCTGCCACGATGTCCAACAGCGCGTCCAATTTGGATGCGCTTGACCACTCTGTTCAGGACTCACAATCCGACGCTTTTCATTCAGCGTCAGACAGCTCAGAGAAGTCTTCAAACTCTTCCTATGACCGTTCCAGAAGCCGAGGGAGGCCCAGGAAACGTAAGTCCATAGAAAACTTGACATCTACGCAACCTTGGTTAAAGCGTCTGAAGTCTTCATACAATGATGAGTACCGTGGACTGTTCAATAGCGCAATTATGGAGATTGCGTCGAACAAATCTTCAGAGCCAGATACTCTATTACAGGAGAGCCACGTAGGAGTCACCGTATGGTCTACGGAAGAGAAGGGAGCGTTCTTCCGTGCCCTTACCAGGAGAGGTCGAGAAGACATCCGAGGCATTGCCACTGAAATAGGCTCAAAGAGCGAGTCTGAAGTCTACGTATATTCAGATATGCTATACAAAGCTGCGTTAGACCAGCAGAATTACGAGACTCGCAAGAATATACTGGATACTTCAAACATTGAAGCTGCGCTTGAAGTGCGTGGGGATTGTTGTGCGGCTCTTGATCTCACAGCAGAAGCTCTATCTGCCCTTCAGCAAGATGAGGAAGAAAGGGCTGAGAAAAGGAGGCATAAAGATTTGGCCCTTTTAACCCCAGGAATCGCCAGGTGGGTAGAACGTGGTATAGTATTACGTGAGGGAGGCAAGGAAGGGGTATCACAGCAAATTCCCGCGGCAAGACTGTTGAACCTCACGAACTTCCTTGCACTTTCAAAGCGCTTCTTTATGAATTCGGTCATCGCGGAAGATAATTGGCGTTCTTATACGGGAAGAAAAATCAAATCACCTTCAATCATGTATACAGCATTTTCCGACTTCCACGCAGTATCAATTTCTATCACACAACGACTTGTACAGTCGAGTCTATTCTTCGCGATGTCACGGCTAAGAGCTATGTCCGCATCAGGACACTACACGCCTCGATCACACGTCAGACGACGAGACGTTCTGGCGGCGCTCAATGTGTTGGGCATGAGGACTGACGCGAAAGCCTTCTGGGCCAGGGCGGCTCGAAAATGCAAGCTACGAGTCTATGACAAAGTCAGGCACCGGCAGGTCTTCGGCAAGAGATACAGCTACGCGGAGATTGAAAGAATTCTATCTCCCAGTATGATCAGCGACCCAGACAGTCCAGAAATAAAGGCCAATGACGCGATTATTCCAACGTTTCGAAAAAGCCGAATTCTGACAGAGCATTCAGCAAGCGCATCGGAGGGTTCGATGTCGACTGACGCTGCCGGGACGGACGCTCTGTCAGATTATGAAGACCTCTCGGCGACGCCTTTAGACCCCACAAACAAGCAAGACTACAAGCAAGAGGCCCATGATCAATTACAGGACGCCTACGCGGAAGCACTTGACCAGCAGGCCAGTCGTAATGAAGAACGCCGCTTGTGGGAGATGCTTGGCGAAGATCCGGCAGAAAAGATGGAGCCAGTAGATGTGAAGCTGCCCAAAGCCTCTCTTCCAAACCGGAAAGACAAGGAGGAAATGTTTGACTGGAGAGATTGGGTAGACTACGCTGGGGATTGGGAGACGCATGAGGTTCCAGTATTCGGAAGCAGATTTGCCAATAATCGAAATGTCAAAAGGGACGGGGATTCTGGCGCAGGATTTACCAGCTCCGAATCCAGCCCGGAGAGTCTGATCAACGACGAGTCTACCGGAGAACAGCACGACTCGAACTCTGACTCAGATGCTGACGGCGATGGTGCGATCAACGATGATGGCCCCAATGCATCGTCCGCCGACGACAATGAGCATTGGGCAGGCAGTAATGGTGGTGACCCCGACAGAGACATGTGGCATTCAAGTCTTGACGATGATACTCCAGCTACCAAAAAACGAAGAGGTGGACTGCGGCCAGGCGACGATAACACGCGTCCCAAAAGTCTCACACGCCCGCTAGATGCTACTAACAACAACATGGAGAGTAGTGATGACAATCTTTCCAACGAATGAGCATATTTTGAGGGCTGCAACACCCTTAATGACCTAGACATGCTTTCTTTGGGAATAATCAACAAGACTCTATGTTACACATGCTTTGACCCTAAGGAAGCGCAACGGACAGCCTACTGAACGATAGAGCACAGTATCCAACGACTGGGGTAATTTGTGATACTGTCTAACCCAGCACAAATAGTACATTTCCGAAGAGTCAAGAAGTCTCTTCCCTTGCCGAGATATCTCTTACGATTGCAACTCGCAGATCAAATTCATCTGCGCCTGATGCATTGCACTTGTGATACATCATATTGCGATGTTCTTGAAATGCGCCTAATAATGACTTGGAGCCCCGCTGTCAAATCTCGATGTTCTTGTACCCAGTATCACCAGGCCCATATGGTTCTACAGTCCCCTTTGACATCTCTCGCTGGAACCCGAATCTCTCACCCATTCCCTCTTGTGTCATCCTCGCGGCTTCCTCTCCACCCTTCTGATTTGCCGCGCGAAGCGCGTCTTGTGTTTCGGACACTCGCTTCCTGAACGCCATTCGGTCTAAGAAGAGTTGCTGTCTGCCACGCTCCAATTCACGGCGCTCAGATTGTAGCATTGCTTCCATCTCGGAAAACTGCTGCAGCTTGAGCTCGAATTTCTGCAAAGTTGTGTTCACTGCTGCGGAAACAAGGCGTGTCATCTCACGCTCTTCATTCGAAGCCAACGCTGCGGCACGAGCAGCAGATGTAGCGAACGCCGTTGTTGCTGCAAACGACGACGGATCTTGCCGTTTCTCTGCTGACGAGAGAGCCATCTGATTGTTAGCTTCCGGTTGCGGGCTGTCAACGTTATCAATTTCCATGGAATCCTCCGTCTTCATAGCTTCCTTGTCCTTCCCTTTGTCTGCGTGGTCTCCACCCACACCGATGTTCAGGCGTTTCCGGTAAGCCTTCTCCATTTCCTTTACGGATCTACCTGCCGCTGCGGCAGCAATGGAAGGTTCACTCATACCTGCTAGGAACCCTAAAACGGACATGACCGGGTTGTCTGACTGGGCAAACGGAACACGGCCGTTATCGAGTGGGCCATAGCTTGGGTGGCCATTGACTTCCGGTTCAAGGTACTTGTCCTCAATCTCCAGTTGCAAGAATTTGACGACGCATTCTTCACGGGTGCGGCTACCGACGTGGTCGGCTATTTTGTTCCAATTTTCGTCGTGCTGCTCGAGGCCTTCCAGGAGCAAGAGCAATTCCTCGTCGGTCCATGGCGCATCCTTATCGGCTACAGCGGAGTAATTGGGATCCTCAAACTTGACAAAGTCTATAGACTCATGCTTTTGATCGTATCGGTGGTTCTGATAACAGGCCGGACAAATATCAAAAAAGACATTGTTCTGTTTGCCACGATCAGTGAGGGTCTGAGCGTAGTGGTATCGGAGGCGCGAGCAATCTATAGCGCAAGAAGCACAATATATGGTTCTCTTTGGCTCTTTGGCTATGTCCTCAATAGTCTTCGTAGAGAGATCGCCGGAAGGCGCACCATTAGAGGAGTGTTCCCCACCATTGGCTTGTTTGTCTTTAAGATCTGCCGTGAGATCCTTGCCTTTCTGATCGTAGATGTTTCGGCGGATCTCGAGATTAAGATTCTCCCTCTCATGGGGCGGAGCTTCCTTGTAGGCTTTGAGAAGAGCATTCTCGGTACCAACAAAGGTTTTGCCCGGCTCGTATTTGACGTCTGATGCTGGCTGGAAAGTTTGCAGACCACGAGGTGTGTCCGCTACTATACGGAAATGGCCGGTAAAAGGCGGACCAATGCTCGATGGCCTTGTGTCAGGATCGATCTTGGAAGCTTTTAGCAGGGCAAAATGGCATGGCGCGTTCGAAGGATTACCTGATAATTGATCAACCCCCATGACTCGAGGAACGCATGGACTCTCATAATGGCACAAACATCTCCTGCAAGGTTACGCCTGCAGGCAGTGACGGTGAGGTATTCAGAGGGATTGAGACGATATGTGTTGATCATGAAGTCGCGGTAGTCCTTGTAGACTGCCGGTGTTTTGCTTCGGTTGCGGCTATTGAAGAATTCCGGTAGGGACTTTCTCTCTTCTTTGTGAATTAAGCGCATGTCAAACCAGGTGCTATAGCTGGGTAGGACCACCGCATATCTCTGAGCTACGAGGTGAGATCGCGCGGCCGACTCCAGTTCGGCTTTCGTTTGAGTCGGCTGGCCATCGGTTTTTTCGTCCGTAGGTTCTGCAGGGCTGCCAGGCTGGTCTCCATCCTTGTTGGGGCTGCCAATGTCATTTGCAGGCTCCTCTCCGGTACCTGCCATCTCCTCATCCTCCCTGTCGCCATCGTCGTCCCCTGTTCGAGGCGCATCCGGAGCATCTAGAGGATTGTCTGAGATTGGTAATGGTGTAGATTCGGAGAGCTTCTGCGGTGATACGGAAGATGTGTTGGGATTTGGGGTGACTAGGGCTTCAGGTGCAACGGTGGCTTTAGAAGTGCAAAACAGTGATCAGTATTAGCCCATCCAAACTGTAGGAAAGGATGTCCGGCGTGAAAGTAAGTACCTGCACCATTCTCAGAAAGAGCCGAATATGAGGCATTGATTTCTTCATTGCCTTGCGCCTGTGTAATTTGGTGAGGCTGGTCTAGGGTGTTTGATGAAGCTAGGGCAGACGAGTGGCCAAGGTCCGGAATTTCCCCTTCCATTTCCGCTGACTGGATACAGATGTCTGTTCAGGTACGTAGTACTTGGCCGATGCTAGTAGGCTGCTGATGCTTGCGTTCTCCTGAGCTGTACAAACTGAGACTTGAGACGCCGGGCTAAGCCTCTGATTGTTATGATTGAATGATATCGCTGTCTAAGATCTCGTTCAACATTCTGACCCTACGCTCATAGAGATGGAGAGGGTGGGCTGTTGACACTGATGACTAGCTGCTGGGCGCGTGAAGCGACAGTCTCGCAGTGATAGTGCTGGAAATAAGGTAAGGAAGACACTAAGGGCGACTAGCGTGATCGGCAAGTCGGCGTGATACGGCTCCTCATTATCGACAAATGACTTCCGAGAGTTCCCTATTCCATCTTCTTTTACGCTGTCAACAGAGGTATTGTCATAATTTACCGCTGCCCGATGGATATTGGGGGAGTCCATATTGACCGCATCTACAATGCTGCTCACCACTCGGCACTCTGCTTTCCGGCAAGCACAATGCTACCTCAGGCTCTCGAGAACCTTCAATCGACAACAACAGTCCGCTTTTGCCCGCCTACTAAGCTCCCTTGCTGTCCTTGAACAACGCGAGGGGAAACTTCAGAGTGCATCCCTCAGCGCTGTCACTGCTGCTCAAAAGCTAGGAGGCTCAATAACAGGCTTTGTTGCCGGGAGTGGTGTTAGATCAGTGGCCGAGGAGGCTGCAAAGGTCAGGGGGCTAGAGAAGATCATCATGGTCGAGAATGGCTCATATGACAAAGTACGCTTACTGTGCCGTATACTGCTGTGATTACCCGTGATTGCTTCTAATCATTTCTCAGGCTCTCCCTGAAAATTATGCTCCTCTACTTGCTGAAAACATAAAGAAAGGAGGTTTTACACATGTGTTTGCTGGGCATTCGGCATTTGGCAAGAATCTGATGCCCAGGGTGTCTGCCCTCCTGGACGTACAACAGATATCAGATATTACCGTTATTGAGGGCGAAGATAGTGAGATCGACCAAAGTTCGTGACTTTGGCGAAGCATGCTCTGACTCGTTTGTAGCCTTCGTTCGACCAATATACGCTGGAAATGCCATTCTCACTGTTCAATCATCAGACAAAATCAAGATAATAACAATCAGAGGCACGGCTTTTACAGCTGCCGAGGCCGAGGGCGGCTCTGCTGAGATCACCGAGGGGGTGGATCCCAAGGTTGAAATCAAGACTGAGTGGCTTTCGGAAGACTTGGCAAAATCAGACCGACCTGACCTTGCAACAGCAAGCAAAGTTGTTTCTGGTGGACGAGGTCTCAAGTCAAAAGAAGAATTTGACAGAATTATTCCACCATTGGCAGACGCTTTAGGGGCAGCCATTGGCGCATCAAGAGCAGCGGTCGATAGCGGCTTTGCGGACAACAGCTTGCAGGTCGGACAGACAGGCAAGAACGTTGCGCCGCAACTCTACCTCTGTGCCGGTATTTCGGGAGCCATCCAGCATCTTGCAGGTATGAAGGACAGTAAGGTAATAGCGGCAATCAATAAGGACGCCGATGCTCCAATATTTCATGTGGCTGACGTTGGTCTTGTTGGCAACCTTTTTGATAAAGTGCCAGAGCTGACTATAAAATTGAAGCAGTAGCGAAGAATGCTTGTCTTCATGTATATATTTCGAAATCTTACACCATCTTTGGACAGACCTCTTCACCTAAGCCACTTCGTACTTCACACCTTGCATTGTTCTCTTCGTGTTATGAAGCGAAAGAGCATGACTCTGACAGGTCATGCCCGAAATCTGTTTCGAGTATTCGGCAAGCCGGTTATAAGCGAACCACTCCCTGTTCATCTTCGAGGAGAGTCGCTGAGAGCGAGTTTCCAGGGCGAGGAAGGCTTGCCTACCATAGGTTTGGTCAAAGAGAAGACCTAACTTCGAGACGTAGTTAGATTACACGGAAAGACAAGATTGGTAGAATGCACACTTGCATATGGGGTTCGAATTTAATATCAGAGCAGTCGCGATGAGCAGTATGAAGATAGAAATGTGTCTGAAGCAAGTTTTCTCCGTCGGCTAAATGTTTTCAAAGTGAAGTGATTGTTCACACAATATTGCGGCGAAGGTACTCTACTAGTACCTCCTTTACCCCGCTCCCTTCGTCATATTTCCACTTTACCTCCGAGAACGTTGTCAAATGCATCATGATTTCCATTTTATTTGCGGAGCATGGACGAAGACACACGACGGCTATCAGCCTTGCAAGTACGGACGGATTCTCCCAATATTGAGGCTACCGATAATGCGGCTGCCAATCATGCGCCTGCTAATACTACCAACGCGCCGAAAGCTAAGGATCATGTCAATCAAACCAACCATATTATTGCTGCGAGTCCTGTGACCGCTTCAGACCGAGGGGACGCATCCTCCAAACCGCAGAGACGCCGTAATAAGCCAAGTCTAAGCTGCGAAACGTGCACTGTAAGCCATAAGTACCAGTAATTTGTTTTTTCTAGAAAAAAGGATAGGGAAAATGGAAGGAAGGAAGGAAGAAAGAAAGAAAGAAAGAAAGAAAATGCAGACATTGGTTCAAAAATACTTACGGTCCTTCAGATTAAGAAAACAAAGGTTGGAAGATGCCTTGTCCCTTAACCTTCATTTCCTCCTTATTCCCATGCTTACATCTCTTCTAGTGTGACCGAGGAAGACCGATGTATTCAATACCTAAGAGCACCTTCTTCCTTAAAGCACGCCTCGTCTGACTTCATGGGTAGATGTTTTGCATGCGTTAAACGGAGATCCGAATGTCACTATTCCCACCTTGCTGATCTGATCGAGTTGCTCACCCAATCCTTGACTCCAAAAAATCCTTCGTCTGATGGAGTATTAGGGAATCACATCGTGCCCTGGGCATCGATACGCCAAAAAAAAAGTCAAAACCAAACGGTGATGCTGCGTCAAATTCTACCCTTGTCAACGTCTGTTACCCTCGACTTTGGACTTCGTCTCCATATTGGCACAGGGACTGACTCAAGCACACACACAGAATGGCACCACCAACCCCACAGAACGGCCACTTTCAAGGTCGTCAACTGGATCCTCGCCGATGCCACTCTCCAACGTTCCCTTCTCCCATCCTACAGCTTCCAATATCTTCAAGGCCGAACATCCCTTCAGGTGAACTTTGTGATTCTGGTTTTGCAGAGCTATCACTGACAGGGAGCAAGCAACTACTGGACCCACCAGGGCGGGCTGAACGAAGTAATCGGAGTTCTGCCAAGCAAAGACCAGGCAGATATGTTAGTTCCTCCTTCTCCTCCTTTGTAACGAAGAAAGTGTGTCCAACTTTTCACCCAATAGGCGAGCGAGTCTTTTACAATTTCATCCTTGATTAATCTTGGGCTTCGTTCAGCACTCATTTTCTTTCCATTCTGTTCCCATGCTACTAGTTCATTCTTGTCCCAAGAGGCAGCTAATTCGCGCTCAAGTCTAATTGCCAAATACTTTGATGTCGTTGATCCCGTTTATCCGATGATCCACCGCGAGTCCTTCCTACGAGACTACGAATTCTTTTGGTTGTTGGCGCCAGCGGAGCGTCCGTCTGTAGATGGGTCATTGGTCGCTCTCATATTCGTCATGCTGGCAATGGGTACACAGTTTGTCACATTGCCATCGTCTGATGACAAGGAGCAAACGGCTGAATTTTATGGTAAGATACCAGCCTTGGTGTTCGAAGTAGTGTAAAAGGTCCTGACCTGATTGAAAAGTTTCGGCATCACACCAGGCGCTAAGAGTGTTCTCCTACCTCGGTCGTCCTTCGTTACGGGTCATTCAGACCATGGTTCTCATCATATACTTTCTCATGAACGATAATCACGCAGCGGATGCTTGGGCATTCGCAGGCATTCTCATCCGCCAGGCCTATGCATTAGGCCTGAACCGTGACCCGTCAATCATCGTTCCCCACGCGCACCCTTTCGAGAAGCAGCAGCGCCGCAAGGTGTGGCAAGCTGTGCTCTTCCAAGATACTTTCCTCACCGTCATACTTAAATTACCTCCTACAGCCACTCATACCGACGTCAGAATTGAGGACCTGGCTTTGGAAGTGGAAGAGTCGCTCACCGAGTCCGGCGCAACAGGTAAGCACCCTTTCTGCGTCATTTCTGCCATTTCCCGATCTCTGCTGGAAACCAAACATGTTTGTGGATTAGATGATGTGTCTCTGCATTCCGAATCTGTCTTAATACTCAAAAAGGCGTTTGAAAAGAGGAACGCTGACTCCCGGAATGCCGTAGATGTCACATACATATCGAGCATGTGGAACCTTGCAAACATAGTACAATCGACTCTCTGTACCCCGCGGTCTCTTTCGCTCCCAATATCGTCCTCGCACACCCAACGCACCAGCCTGATTGCTTCATTCCATCGCATCTACATGTCTTTCCCAGCGCCTTTCCGCACATTCACCGAAGCATCTATCTGCGACTTAGCACGCCGGAGCAAAAGGCTTGCAAGACAAACTTTGTTCCTGACAAGCAATTACTTCCACTGTCTTATGCTAGTATATGCCGACGAGCATGGGCAATTAGACATCGATATTCAGGGAACTTTAGACGCAGCTCACGAGGCCATCAATAGTTTCTTTCTGCTGCGCGCGTTGTTCGAGGACGAGGCCATGGTGTGGTATCATTTCCAACATCGAGCATTTTCTGAAGCGGTGAGCGCCCATCCTTCGTGCTGAGCGCGGGATCTATTAGAAGTCCCAGACTGACTTTCGAATATTAGCTAGTAATCGCGGAGCTAGTCAAAGCCCAAAGTGACAACATCGCAATGAATCCAACCAGAATGAGAGCTAAGAATGACGTTTTAAGGATGATTGGGATTCTACAGCTGAGTAGTGGCGTAGACATGGTGGCTCGCACGAGAGTTTCTGTGCTGAGCAGGTATTTGTGAAGGAGGTGCGCAAGCGACTGCCTCTTCCCGTTGATGGTCACCACGCACAATAGCATAATACCCAGGTTTCCGTTGCGAAGCTTGTGCGAGGACATTGACGATGTATTCGTGTTACGTTGAATTCAACGACATCTTGCCTAGAGAAACCCAGTGTATACCAAAATTCACAAATCATACATCCTTCGACTTGTCCTTAGCCAAGACACGCCTCCCTTGTCTCCGCATATATCGATTCAAACTCTCACAAAGTCGATCAAGCACCCACTCACTTTCGCTCGAATCTGCCAACATTGGGCTATCCTCCCCAATCCAATCCCATCCCACAATGCCTTGTTCCTCTTCTGCCAGCTCAATCTCTTCTTTCGACAGTCTGGAGAAGCGTATGAGCCGCGTATACTCGGCCCATTCCTCGTAGCAATACCTGCGAGGCGGGTCGTCTTTGAGGTGATTCGCTGTATGCCGTATTGCTATCGCAAGTTTCCCGGCTAGAGCTTGATCATCGAGATTGTCTAACTCGCTGACTTGCTCCATCGTAGGTGCTGGGTCCATCTCATCCTCCTCTTGCCCAACGGGCATACCTGCAGCCAGGCGTCGCTTCTCTGCAGCTTTCTGCGACTTTTTCTGCAGCCACAGCAGCAGCCATGGATACTTCTCGAGCAACTCACGCCATAAGCCTGCCTTCGGTAAAACGGTCCAATCGGCCAGCTTGAAGGTGCCGCGCTTAAAACTGGCGATGACTGTGTCGCCCATGTCGGAAATGAGGATTGTCATGGTTGGGACGGCGATAAGGGACCAGACGATAAACAAAGGTTTTCCGGCGTTACTTTTGGGACTCAGGTCTCCGTAGCCGATGGTGAGAAGGGAGACATAACAGAAGTAAAGAGCCTGAAAATAGCTCAGACCTTGGGACTTCGATTCCGCTCTCCAGAAGCCGACAGCGCCTACGCACCAGAGAAGTCCGACTGCATAAGAATAAGCCTTCTGGCGAGCATGAAGAGAAACCGACGGGATAGTTGGTTGGCTTCAGCGAAAAAAGGAGTATTCAACCATTACTTACATGCTATGAAGGACATTGTCAAGGCAGAATACCGCTTGAACTTGTGAGTATCATACTGAATTTTCCTCATTGCGTCGAACCGATCCTTTTCTTGCCTCATCAACAGGATTTTTGGTTGCCTCGAACCAACTCGTCTTAGCACCCTTAAGCCGGCAATCACGGGACCAACCTTTGATTTCTTTTGGTGGGATTCGCGAGGGGCTGGGGCGATTGCCTTTTCGACATCGAAGTTGACCGTACGCTGTGTAAGGTTAAATGGCTCGGAAATTGGGGCTGGCTTTTTGTGATGAAGTTTGGCCAACGCATAAGCCTTCAGTTTCTCATATTCGAAGTCCGTAGTTGCAGTCCGTCGTAGTGTATGCGTTCTCTGCTTCTCGACATGCGACTTAACGACATGAGTCGATCCGAGTTCTTGGGCGAACCCTCGGATACTGGATACCATCAAACCTAGGATGATGATACCGCCAACCTAATAGGAGAAGTATCAGATATCTGTTATGCAGACAACCAATCTATGAGGTTGCTCACCGAATACGGGAAAACTAGGCCTCTTCCGACGTCGTTTGTAGGGTAGAAGTCACCAAATCCTACTGTCAGTACCGTAACGTCACAGAAATAAAGCTAGCGCTATTAGTCCAAGAAGGACGTCGGAGTTGGGCGAGGAAAGACGGACCGAGTCCACAAAAGACCAACCCTCCACTTTGGCGAACACGGCAGCGCCTCCGGCAAGCCAACAGAAGAACATCATAGTTTGAAGTATCAAATTTCGCTGATCATCGGACAGTTCAAAATGCTGAGGATAATGGCCAAGAAAGTACCCCAACATATTCAACATCAGGATCATCGATGAGACGAGGTAAAGAATGGCAGCGATGACGGCGTGCCAGAAGCCTTGGCTATAGGTCTGGTCTGGTCGGTGGGGAGGCACGTACTCATCCATGGATGCGGTGATAGCGATGAGCTAGCGTCGTCAGTCAGAAGATGTCTCATTAATACCATGATTTATGATTGCGTATAGACAGCACATGACGAAGTACATAGAGGAGTAACGTCGTGTGGACAAGATGGCAGAAGACGACGGTATAATGATAGAATTGGTATGACACATGTAAGTACAGTGGAGAATAGTGACATACAATTCCTGTTGCGAAGTACCAAAGAATAATAGTGACGGGCAAAGCTACTATATAGCGTATGCGCCTGGTGAAATTGAAAAGAAGAAAGATGTTGCCAGCGAAACCACATGCCAGCGAGGCGCCATTGAGTCCCAGACACCATCTGGGGTCTGGAAAGCCCGTTGAATCTGCATCGATGCCTGGATTGGCCGGGTTGTAGTTGTTCCTCCATGATGTGACCAGTGCCGCAATGGACATGACATTGGCCAGAGGTCCAGTGCAAGCAGCGAGGAGGGGTATAGCTGTGGAGCAGAACCACCAATCTTGAGGTTGATCATCGTCGTCGGGCCTTAGGTGAAACTTCCATTTCTGCTTCCCAGGTGTTTCTGGCGTAGGGGCTTTACATCTCGCGCGCTGTAGTGTGCTTGTGGAAGCGTCTGTTGAATCTGAACTCCCAGGTGGAGAGTCGGTGGTGCCCATCTCGTTCTATTATGAGTGAGGTGCAACATGAACCATGGTCCTGGGAGGTTACTTCCTAACGGCGACGAAGCGGGGCGTGGCGGGGAAAAGAAGCAACTAGCTAGCATATGATCGTTATCGCCAGGCCAACATGACGAGGAGGTGTATGATACAGATATATGGCTGCTCTTTATGCGCAGGGGGTGTAGAGGAGGAGGAGGAGGGAATGGCAATGAACTGTTGCATAAAAACGAATCTCCGAGGAAGACGATGACAAGAACTCATTGTTCCTCATCGATGAATTTACTTAACCTTATCGGGCACTCTAATCCGATGTAAAGTAAGCGAGGTATGGGAGATAACAGTCGAGACAGTTAACTCCGTATTACCTAAGAGGCTAAGGTACTAGTACTCTACTCGTATGGTATTGAATAACCGCCACACACGTCCGCTGCCTGTTTACTGTTCAGCACCAAATCTCAAGTACCGACCCCGGCATTCTGGGGAGACTACACAACTGATGTGAGAGGGGAGAGTACGTATACTACTACTGTGTTCCTCGAGAGCAGATGTCTACGAGTACTTATCTTATTTTTCATCTACGAGTACGTTGATTCACTTTTCAATAAATAGTTCGCAAATTGTACCACTTTTCTCTTTGCAGTCAGCAGCAATACGAGAGTAATGGGGCGCCAGGAGACTTCCGAACCTAAGCCCCCTTTTCCGTGGCACTTAGGAGTATTTGATGCGCATTGTCATCCGACCGATACGGTCCCTTCACTGGACAATGTCGCAGGCATGAAGACTCGAGCACTGACTATCATGGCTACAAGGGAACAAGACCAAAGCTTAGTGGCAGATTTTGCCGACAAGCTGGGCATCACTGACGACGCAATCCCAGCCCTTGAATCTACAAGCGGCAATAAGAAATCAAGGGGTTACATTGTCCCTGCATTTGGTTGGCATCCATGGTTCTCTCATCAAATTTTCGTCGATGGGAAAGGTGTAATCCCTAGTAAACTCAATCATTACCGGATGGCCATATCGCCCTCACCAGAAAATGATGATGATTTTATTGCTACACTTCCTGATCCTCGACCACTGTCCCATCTACTCGATCAGACTCGCAGTTACCTTCAAAAGTATCCTTATGCGATTGTGGGCGAACTCGGACTCGATCGTGCCTTCCGTATCCCTGGAAACGAGTTGGCAGACAACCGATATGAGAGGGATCCAGCTTTGACGCCCGGTGGAAGAGAGGGCCGACGACTGTCACCTTACCGCGTTGATATGCACCATCAACGGAAAATCCTGAAGGCGCAACTCAACATCGCCGGAGAACTGCAAAGAGCAGTTTCTGTTCATGGTGTAGCTGCACATGGAGTAGTCTTCGAAACCCTGGAAGAAACCTGGCGTGGACATGAGAGACGATCTCTGAGCAAGCGCGAAAGGAAACGAAGAGCAACGCTTGATGCAGCACACCAAGAAGAAGAATTTTCCGAGGCAGATGAACAGAGCTCCAATTTAGGTGGTCCTAAGCCTTTTCCTCCTCGAATATGTCTTCATTCATACTCTGGGCCCGTAGATACCCTCAGACAGTACCTCCACCCATCAGTGCCTGCAATCATCTTCTTCTCCTTCTCTCTTCTCGTCAACTTTTCCTCTACCTCAAGCAAGGCCGTCGCTGCCATCCAAGCAGTGCCTGATGACAAAATTCTCGCTGAGAGTGACCTACATGCCGCTGGAGAGAAGATGGATGGCTTATTAGAGGATATTGTCCGAAAAATCTGTCAAATCAAGGGTTGGACGTTGGAGGAAGGCGTGAAGCAATTACGATCAAATTGGTGGCACTACATATTCGGAAAGAAATTAGGGAATGAGGATGGCGCTGAATAATGATGACATTGGCCCAATACGTTCTGCTGCAAGCTTGCCTTTTATGGGCCGAGGACGACCAGGAGAACAGAGAGAGTACCCTGTCAAAGTTTCATAGCAATTGGGAACATCCCTATGAACAAATACGAACACTGTAGTTCTACAGTTCTGAGTGCTCTATCAGCCAAGGAGCACGAAATGACAGATTGCTCTGGCGGTTAAATGATGTTAGCGAGCATATTCCGAGGCCTTTTCTTGAGTGCAGAAGTTTTGGATGTAGAGTAAGACGTGGAGGAAGGGCGGGTGCTGCGCGTCACGGAGCTCAAGAACAACATGTTGGATTGTCAAGAGAAAAGAGGTATGTCGTACGGAGGCCCGCAATGCATCATTGACCAACTAACCAACCATCAACGCAGGCTCTTGTTCTATCATAGAATTGCTGTTTCTTACCCGCTTCCGAGAACATGGCATCAAGAGCGAAGGGAAACCATCGGTTGTACAGTAGTATTCTTTCTGTCAAATGCCGCTTCTATCAGGGGTAAGCAAGGTAGTCCATTCGTCTCGATACCTACCCTAGCGGAGGGCAGTGGGTTCCGGTAACCGTACCCAAACGGTATTGGTGTGCGCTAAAGTAAGGTATCATATCGAAGAACATTTCTGCAGAGACGACAGCATCGCTCACTATGCTTCGATCCCGTCTCAGAGACCAATTGTTCCACTTTCCCGAACAGCTATGCCAATGGGATTCCCTAGACGTCTCCAACGGATGCGCCCGAGATGTTTCGTTCAGTCCAAACGTACCAGCTCAATCCCCTCCTTTACCGTGATTTCACGTCGACTTTTCGCTCTTCGAAAGCCTGATCTATCAAGATGCGATCCAGCCGGGGCATTTTCTTGAGACCAATCTGACGCAGCTCATAATTTGGATCCTTCGCTTTCACTGCGTCTTCTATCTCCATTTGACTGATGCGGAATTGACGGCTAGCCTCTGACTCGACGTCAAGCTGCTCTGTGTTGAGTGCCTCCTCACGGATGCGGGGAGGTGCATCCGTATCCCTCTTGCGCTTGCGAGGGTTTTCCCCTCCCTTCTTGGGAGACTTGGCCTGTCCTTGGGTATCGCCCGCTTGGATTCTGGCAGCCTTGACTCGTTTCACTATGGAATTGGGCTTAAGTCTCCCTCCGCTTAGATTGCTGATTTGTTTTGGGCTCCAATGAGCTATAACCTGCAGTAGAAGCGGTCCCCACTAGACAAAGATGTCGCCGTCAGCATTGCGATTTCAAGTAAGCGTTTCTAGTCTTGAAAAAATTCTACAGACCAAGGTCTTCCAAGACACGACTCAAGGCTCAAACACTGGTTCGATAGAGTAATATGGGTTCCGGAAATACGTACCAGATGATTCGGCCATTGCTTGATGATATCTTCAGTCTCGATACCCTCGGGCAAACGCTCTGTGGTTGCGGGAAATCCGGGGATGTGGACTCTTCGTAACTGCTGATACTTCGAGATATTCTCACCTGTGGGTAATGTGACTTTGGTGCCCGGTTCACCATGGGTCTGTCCTATGCTCCGTTCCGAGCTCTTGGAGACTTGCGCTCGCGCTGTATCCATGACTACAAGTGAGGTTGGAGATTATTGTCAAGGAGACGCTTTAGATGGTGGGATTTGGCGTTAGCACGAAGGAACGTGGGCGAAGGTTTCTCGAGAATCAATGAAAAGGTTCAGAACGTTGCCTGAAGAAGTTGTGTTGTATGAAAGCCTTGTCTTGATTCACTGTGAGGTGGCTAGAAGCACAATTTACTTAAACACAATAGCTATTCAAACGTGTCGGCTTCATCTCAGAGCTTGCGAGGCATCAGAGTGAATACCAGCTACGTTGAGAACGCCGATCCGTGAATATAGAAGTCTTGTAACAATGGCAACCGACCAGAAAGTGGTAATGGTAGCTATTAAAGAAATAGAAAAAGAAGTCTCTGAGATAGATGCAACTGTCACGCCTCAATTGTGGACGGTACAGACTCATGAAAAACTTTGAATTTGGGACAATCTGCTCTCTATCATCAGAATTGGCCATTCTTTCACATCGATCTGACCCAGTAAACACCAGGGTTTGGCTTGCAAAAGGCAAAGCTCAACCTCAACTGCTTAGCAGATGCGAGGCCTTTCAGACAAGACACAGCTCGAGAAAGCAAATCTGTAGGCAGCTGGACATATGAGATATGAAATCTCTTAATGAATCACCAATAGCGACCTATACAGCAAGATGGACTACCAGCATTTCCCACTAAGCTATGCTTTGACCTAGTTCAGTGATAGCAAAAGTAACACCTAACCAGACGTGGCCTTCTGTTTATCCTCCAAGACCTTTTTGACAGCCGGTCTGGCCGTGAGGCGCTCCATCCAGGCATAGTAGTGAGGGTAATCGCCTTTGAAATCGATCTTCGTATCGCCAGTGATATAGGGAGCTAGCTGGTACCACGTGACGAAGCTCAGATCAGCGTACGTGCACTTGTCGCCAACAAGGTATTCCTTGCCGTTCAGAATGGTGTCCAGGACCATGGTGACTCGCTTAACCTCGGCGCCATAGCGGTCTTTTGCCGATTGGACATTTTCGGGATGGTATTTGTTGAACCTGGCACACCATTAATCAGCGTGGAGCTCATGGCCGTTGGTCTTCAGGTGGACTTACCAGGCTGCTTGGCCAAAGTACGGGCCTTGGCCTGAAGACTGGAAGTGAAGGTATTGCTTGCAGTAGTACTTTTCAGGGAAAGAAGTGTACGTAAGCGAGTTGGAAGTATCGTAACGATCGATCAAGTACTCAATGATCTACATTACGTTAGTGAGTTAGTACCTGTCTGAGGAGTGTTTGGGAACTTACGGCTCCAGATTCCCAGAGAGTGATGCCAGTATTTGGATCCTCGATCGCTGGTACACTGACACAGAAAGATTGGTCAGCCAGGGTATTTCCGGAAATCGAGGAATTGACTGAGGAGAAGGTTTTCTTACCGGCCATTGGGGTTTTTGTCTGTGTATGGTTTGGCCTTGACCTCTTTGTGCAGGTCGACGAACTTGGTCTCGTATGGCAGGGCAAGTTCTTCAAGAACGATAGCGACCTTCCAGGGATTGGGTCCCTGCAACGCAAAATTCCAAATGAGTAATGAGTAGGTGTATTGTAGAACAGCGGCCACAGGTACTGACGCTGTCGTGAGACCAGAGGGTAATTGTTTGTGTCATGGTGGAAAGGAGTGGGAGGGCGAGGTTGTGATTGTTGTTGTGATTGTTGATTTTCGAGGTGAGAATTCTGGATGAGAACTGAGCTGATCTGTCCCTCCTTTAAACAAAGTGAATGATAATGAGGGGCCGAGAGAAATGAATTTGAATACTCGTGGATTCCAGAAGTGAGATATTTGATAGAGCGAGGACACCAATAGATATTTCCACTTAGCGGCATGTCGCTTGATCTATTGGTGTCCTCGCTCTATCAAGTAACTCACTTCTGGAATCCACGAGTATAATTAAGGGCCCCTTCGATAACCACATATTTTCAAAATATGCCAACATATATTACCCCACCTCTTAGCAAATAAAATGTGGGCTTAAAATAGCACTAGTAGACACTTGAAAATGTGTAAAATATATATACGGTTTCTATAATCTCGGTAAGTAAGAATCGAATATAGAATAGTCGAAAAATTCTTTCTCGTCAGAGATAATTACCTTTCTATCTACTATTTAATAGTCTTATAACTAATATATCTACTACTGCTATATAGGCTTTAGCCATTATTAATACTTCTATTACCTTCGTCGTTACTCTATCTTTTATTATAATAAGAAGAATAATACTAAGTAGCAGTAAGAATAACACTTATTGCTATCTCTTTAAATAGAGAGTTATCTGTAACTGAAATATAGCTATTGCAGTTATGAAATGTGGCTAGCAGTCATAAAAATGAAATATCGCTATTGCAGTCATAAATATTCATTATTCCTGTGTGCATAGCGCATATCGAGCCTCAAATTATGGGTCAACCCATAATTTACATATTTTCAAGACGAAATGTGACCTGGCAAGTGAAAATATGATTACCGAACGAAACCGTATGTATATAGTACGCTAATTTGAAAATATGTGGTTACCGAAGGTATAAAGTACCGAGTAAGAGCGAGCCGAGCGCCCCCACTTTTTGGATTTCAAATCCTTTAGTTACATTACCTTCACATGCATGGGATCGAGGGGTTGCATACACGCATGCAAGGCACAAATCTATATTGTGTAGAGTAATAAAGTACCCCAAAAGTGAGTTGCTTGATACAGCGAGGACACCAATAGATCCTTCCATTTACCTTAGCCAGATGTTGCTTGATCTATTGGTGTCCTCGCTCCACCAGCTCTATCAAGTAACCCACTTCTGGAACAGCGCAAGTACCTAATAAAGTGAGAAGGCCGAGTTGACTTCGGATTTTCGTCCGTCCAAAATCACAACTATCTTGTTCCTTTTTTTCTGCGACTCCTGCCACTCTCCTAGCACCTAGAATCCGTACGGAATCTAAGCATCTTGCTCTTCCCGTGCAACTTCCGCCCTCCGAGGCTCCAAACCATAGACAGAATGTATGGTAAATGGGAATCCTCGTCGTCTCACAGCCGGCCTTCCGTTCAACCCGAGTCCTGCATATCTCCGTGTCCCCGTGGCGCACATGAGAGCTGATAAATCGTTTCCAAAGTGCACCGAACCGATGTTGGTCACGTGGTAATGCGCTGGCTCGACGCTTTTCCTTGGTGTCCCTTCGATATGAAGCTTCCAAGCTTTCTAGATCGCTAGTAGAAAAGGCAGACGATGGCGTCAAGAACCATGCTTGGTACCTCATCTGTGCGAGGGAGTGTCGCAGCGCTGCCCCAGCGAATGTTCGTGATAGCAGCATCCATCCTCCTCCGTAGGATCCTGGAATAGGCTGCCTCCAGCTCCAGCCTTGATCGCGTTGACCACATCGATTGCGAAGTCTGAGCTTCCCTCGAAGCACTGCCTGTACGTGCTCGCATCGCTCTCGCTCTCGGGGTCCATTATCTGCCGAGCAGCGATCTTACTGACGAGCTTACGGAATGGCGATGATGGAGGGGTCTTGTCATAGACTGGTTTTATCTCTTCTGGCCCAGGTACTAAACCAGCTTCATTGCACCCCTTTCTAAATTGGTCGATAGCTAGGTTCTTAAGCTGGGGCAGGTTGATTTTGTCGCAAAGTATATAGAGCTGCTGGCAAGCATCCGCAAAGTCCCACTTCTTGTCCATCGGCATATCGCTGACATTGTCAATCTTGCCCTGGTATAGCCACTTGACGAGAAGTTCGAAAGCTCTTGGGTCGTCATCAAACAGCTCGACCGAGACATCTTTCCCTCCTTCTTTCATGCTCCCATGCTCGACCTGCTTTTGGAACCATGTTGAGTGATGGCAGAGGATGTTGCGATGAAGTGACCAATGGCGCCTGGTTTTTCCGACGTAAACATCCATGGTCGAGCCTGACAGGAGTCTGAAGCGCAACAATGTTAGTCAACCAAAATGTAGCGCCGCAGGAACGGAAAAGAGGAACCAACTCTGCGAAAGTCTTTGCTGTGGTTTCGCCTATATCCGTCACTGCCATGCGAAAGGGGCCTTTGTGCTCGTAGGCAAAGTCGCAGTAGTGAATGTGCAAGGAGTCTATAGAGGAGTGGCCTGTTGGAGGAGGTGTGTATGGTGGAGTATCCATGGGCTAGGCTGATGCTTGGTCTTGAATGATGCGGTTGAGTTCCGGAATATACAAACGAAGAGGTTGCCAAATGCTCGAACGACGATGACAACATGAAATGGATGGCAGCAGCTGAAGACTCCAGCGCTCCAGAGTTCCAGCGCAAAAGAGCCGATGACCGTATGTATCCCGTCGCGAAGATTAAGAAACGCCACAGCCGGTCCGGCGACCACTACCACGGTAGTGCGATCGGTAGCGCGATATCGGTCGCGTCTTTGGTATGTACGCGTTTTCCTCTTTCTTAACATATATTGTTTCAAGTACTCGTATTTCATTCCTTTGCCTTCGACGCGCAATGTCTCTAGTATCGTCACCCGTAACTTATCCACCAAGTTTGTCACCTCCACTCATACTGGAAAAGCGCAAAAGACAGCATGAGCTGGAAGTACCCTTGCAGGTAAAGAGGAAGGCTCTGAACGCGAAGGACGAAGGTCATGCGAGAGTGGAGTTCCGAACATTTGCATTGGATACCTCTGACACGGTGTCACCAAAAGCTCGGATAGTGGACAATGCACCCTCAAGGTCGCAGGGGCCCTTCGCCGACGACGACGACGATGACAATTACGATGATGAAGGAATGGCGAGTAATGTTAGCATGCTTGGGTCCTTTGAAAGTGGAACCCCAAGGACAACAGCTACGGCACCGGCTTTCAAGTCTACCCTAGCTAGACCAGATAACAGTCGGCAGCAACATTTGTCATGTCGAGCGCCTCAAGCCAAGACATCATCAGGTAAAACCTTCAAACTCCATTCGAAGCATACACATGCTCCCGTTCCATACGAACAGCTCGTTGCTGAGCGGTCTAATACTGCACCAAGGAAGGCAACAAAGAGCTATTATGGCGTCGACGTTCACAAGCTGCTCGATGAGGCGGCCAAGGATGCCAGGAATGAGAAACATAAGAACAGCGACGCTCCACGTCCATCGATAGAAGCGCCATTGCCCAGAAAGACCTCCAAGAAAGGTCGAACGATGCTGTGGACGGAGAAGTATCGCGCCAAAAAGTTCACAGATCTAGTCGGTGACGAACGTACGCATCGTGACGTTCTGCGATGGCTCAAAGGCTGGGATCCAATTGTCTTTCCCGGCACAAGCAGACTTAAGCCAAAGACCAAGTCGATGGAGACCGAAGCAGGGCCTCGACAGCAACGGAAGATACTTTTGCTTGCAGGACCTCCCGGTTTGGGTAAGACTACACTCGCACATGTTTGCGCAAGACAAGCTGGCTATGAGGTAGTGGAGATCAACGCCAGCGATGAGAGGAGTCGTGACGTCGTCAAAGGACGAATAAAAGACTGCGTTGGTACTGAGAACGTCAAAGGTATCAACACCAAGGATGCAGCAGGTACGACTCGCAAGGCTGGAAGACCGGTTTGTGTTATAGTTGACGAGGTCGATGGCGTGGTCAGTGGGAGTAGCGGTGGAGGTGAAGGTGGATTCATTAAGGCCTTGATCGATTTGGTTAACCTTGATCAGAAGAACTCGAACGTTCTCGGATCTACCTCAGCCAATTTGGTCAAATCGAAAAAGAAAGGCGACAGGTTTCGACTTTTGCGGCCGATGATCCTAATCTGTAACGACGTGTACCATTCCGCCCTACGGCATCTTCGTGCTTCCACGTTGGCAGAGATTATCCACATTAGGAGGCCACCGCTGGACAAGGTCGTAGTTAGACTCAAATCAGTGTTTGACAACGAGGGTGTCGCTTGTGACGTTGATGGCGTGCGAAGGCTTTGTGAGGCAACCTGGGGTGTCAGCGACAGAAGGGAGTCTCGGACGAATCCCAGTGGTACTGGTGAAGGTGACATGCGAGGCATACTGGTGGTCGGCGAATGGGTGGCGGCGAAGATGCGAGCATCTACCGGGAAAACGGCTCGACTGACGAAGAAGTGGGTAGAGGAGCATATGCTCGAAAATCTTTCGCATGAGGGAGACGGAGCTCGAGGATTGGGTCATGGCGGCGCAAAAGAGGTCGTCGAGCGGGTTTTCTTGGATGGCGCAGGGTTTCCCAAGGCTGCCTTTACAGCGCCAAATAGCATGTGCAGAGTACAGAACAGAGACTTTCTGGGAGTGTCAGAGCTTGCGAAACACACAGCTATAAGTCGACTGCGGGACGTTGTCGACACATGTGGCGAGAGCGACCGCATTGTCACCGACTGCTTTACTGCATACCCTTCGCGTTCTTTCCAAGACGATACTTTCCTTTCCAAGCCTAACGCTGCGCACGAGTGGCTGCATTTCCATGATCGGTTGTCTTCGAAGGTGTACGGGGGTCAGGAATGGGAGCTTGGACCATATCTTGCGCAATCGGTCCTTGGATTCCACCATCTGTTCGCTTCTCCAGCAAAGCATTCATGGGCCGACCAGAAACGTTGGGATGATGAGAATGAAGAGCTGCTTCCTTTCTCCGGTCCTCGAGCTGACTATCTGGCCTCTGAGGCCTTGAAGCAGAATAGGGCTGTCCTGCTCGGCCTTCAGTCTTCTTTATCGTCCCAATTGCTTCGCTCCTTCAGGTCTGCTGAGGACATCTCGACTGATCTCCTCCCAAATCTCATCAGGATGTTGACGCCCGATGTCAAGCCCATTGTTGTAGGCGGAAGTGGCGACCAGAGAGGTGCAGTAAGCGTTCGAAAGGAAGGAGAGCGAGAAATGATCCAACGTGCTGTTGGCGTTATGGGCGCTGTTGGCGTCACGCTTGAGCGAGCCAGAGTCGAGATGGGTCAAAGTGGCATCAGCAGCCACATCTATCGCATGGAGCCGTAAGCTAGCCAGTGCTGTGGCTCGGATAAGACTTACACTGACGCGTCTCTATAGGCCTCTAGACAACTTGGCGGCTTTTGAAACTGCCTGTCAAAATGGTTCAACGACAGCTCCAGCGAGATACGCGATCCGCCAAGCTCTCGACCAGGAGTATCAGAAGTACCTCCTCCGTCAGCGTGCTGATGCTCGTCAAGCTAGATATAGAGCTGGAGGTGGCCTTAGTTCTGAGGCAGATTTCGGAGCCGAGGACAGAGAAAATGCGAGAACTGAGGAAGGAGTAAAGCCGAAGCCGGTAGCGGTCAAGCGTGACTTTTTTGGGAGGATCATCAATGTAGTTCTACCCGCGGCAAGAGGCCAACCAAGCCAGGGTGAGTGTGAAGAATCGCAGAATTCAAAATCAGATGAGAACGAGAAGGAGAGGAAGGTGTGGGTAAGCTTTCATGAGGGTTTCTCGAATGCGGTCAGGAAACCAATTACGCTCAAGGAGCTAATGCGAGGGTTTTGAACCAATCTCTAACCACGGGCAGGAACAAGCGAGATTCTAATTGAAATTCTTGCATTTGTTGCATTGACTAAGATGTAGGGAACTGAAACCCACGTCTTGCCCTGTGGAGATTCACCATAGAGAATAATCATTGACACCGTTAACATTGTGCAATTGTGCTGGCTGCTAAAGACACTGAAAGTAGAATCTTGGCGGATATCACCACAGCCAATAGCCGTTCGCAATCAAGAAATCTATCCATACCTATTCATTGTCAGTCTCCAGCCCCTGAGATGGAGATAATACTGGGAAGATTCACCATACTCTTATCGCTAGTCGGAACCTATCAAGCGTATGTATGAGACGACCAGCTATGATTTTAACACCCACTCACGTCTGTCCAATGTCATTCCTTGGAACCTTAGAAGAGAGATACCTTCAAAAGACTTATTAGGAAGCTATTTATTCTATTAAGGATAGGAACAGGATAGCAAGGGGAGTGTACCATGTGAATCAGAGGTAGGCGAAGCGATTGGCGCAGTCGACTGGATCATGAACACGGCCAGACGTGTCCTCGAGGCGCTTGCTCACTAGCACCCATGCGTTCTCCATGACGTACTTGTACGCTTCAACAAGCAGCCTATCCTCGTTGTCATCAAAGCCAGCAGGTACCGGTTGCGTGATGACCTTGAGGTTTGTTCCCGCCTGGAAATCAAGGGCACAGGGCTTGTAGACTTCGCCTTTTGCAGCGGCGATGAGTGTCGCGTTTCGCTTGTAGCGGCCATAGATTGCATTTCCTGTGAGGTTCGAAGGCTTGCCGTGGGAGGACCGAACGTTGTTGATGATCTCTGCGATTTCGTCGAATTGTTTGTTTTCTTGTCGCAGGCGATAAATTTCGTGGTTCTCCTAAAAGATTTTTCTAGTCAGCTCTTGCTAGTTCTAGCCGAGAACTAGAGCCATGGGAGATGTTTCTGGACTATGGAATCAGGTTTCACGGCTTCGGAAGACGCTTGAATGAGAAAATTTGCGATTGGGGAACTCCTACAGGATCCATGTCACCTTTCGCCTTCTTCTGTGCCCCACCAGCAGCGATACGGCTTGATGCCTCACTTAATGCTCTTTTCATCTGTGTGGCGTTTCCTCTGAGAGCAGAATCGCTATTTGACGGCCCAGTGAAATTGGTAGCAGTTGCGCTATCCGGAACAAGATTTGCGCCAGAGGTACGACCTGATGCCACCAGTGCTCCAGGAAACACACGCTTGTTTTGGGTCGTGGTTCCCCTAGTAGGGAATGGAATGGGAAACAAGCCTGTAGAGGTGGGAGAGGAAGCCGAGGAGTGGCTGACGCTGAGATCGTATGGGCCGGTAGCTGCTGGGCGTTTCAAAGCTGTATCCGTCAACTGGGGAATGAGAAGGCCTTCTTGGAGGGCGTTGATGACCATAAGGTCGCCGTTCATGATTCCAAATCTGGATTCAGAGTGGGTCTCATTCTCGTATGAATTGACTTGCATACAATTGGCATTCATAGCTTCGAAGCGAGATTCGCTGCTCTTATACAGGGCAGTAACTCCAAGGCCAGGATTGGCTTGGAGGGAGGGGGCATGCATGGAGTCAGTACTAGAGTCGGTGCTCTGAGACAAAGATCCGAATCCATCATAGAGAGCGGCATCCCGGTGGTGGTCCCAAATCAATCTACTCGTGCCCAGAGTGGATTGTGTATATTTCGATGTACTAACGGTAGAATATTCATCGTTGTGAGGTGAGGTTGCTGCTAAGTTGGCAGACATAGTAAGATTGGCAAGGAACTCGTCGATTTCTCTCTTGATGTTGAAAATCAAGCTCACTGCACGCTGATCCATATCTAACGGGTTTGACTCTAGAAGAGCAAGGTCAGAGAGAAGCTCAATGAGGTCGGACATCTTGGTGTCTTGATCAGGTGTATCTTGGGACAAACCAGTCACGCGGTAGTAAAATGTGAACGGTAGAATATGTGTTGACGTGAACAGTAAGATATTTTTTCAGATGGATGAGTTTACGTCTGGACCGCCCTGATGAACTTACAGGTTTGTCCGGTTTGTTCACTCGCCTTAGCGAGATGAATTGTAAACCCGCGAAAGCAATATGAGTTGAAGCAAGGAAAGCGACGATGTTGTTGAATGTATTGCTAAGGAGTCCATTTGGGAGAGCGCGAACAAAACGCGGACAATATGCACTAGTGGCGAATTCTGTTGTTTATGTTTTGCCAATTCGTCACCAACATCTAGTTCACTGCAAGTCACATCGTGCACCAATGTTCCGGCCTATCTTGGCCTCCTGGTCATTTTATATAAGCTCTTCTTAGGAAACTTCAGTACGAAGAAGATATCAAGTAGTCATGTTTGTCTATTAATCTGCGGGCTTTGATGCTAGCAGTATTTCATGATCAGTCAGGATTATGCTGTGTAAAGAAAGCGAGGCAGAAAAATTCGACATGCCAATACAATCATTATCAAAGGTTTTTCAAATTCGATAGCAGGGGTAGATGCGCAAGCATTAGAGAAGTAGCAGATGTCGCGACGAATGTGTAGCCTTTTCGAAGTTGAGCAGCTAGCTAAGATTGCATGAGCTGATTTAGATCGGTCAAGAACAATATCTTGAGATCTCGAATAGTATTCAACCGCAAAGCATTCATAGACACCTCACAGAGAAAGCAGTCCATGTAGTAATGACTGATTTAGAGAATGTTGTCAAAGGTCGATGGAGAAGCGGCGCTCCCGGCGGCAAATCAGTGTAACCTGATCTTGGGACCTTTCCCCATGCGCTGTTCTTGGCCGCCCATAGCGGGGTCGTAGTGGTGTTAGAGTACTTACTCCCTCCCTTAGCATACTTACTCTACACGACTCCCTCCCTGTCTTCTTTCTCTTTACTCCCTACTGTCCAGCTACGCAGCATGCCCAGCTTATTCTACATACTGCTCTCGCCAGTCCTTTTGTTCATTTCAATTCCTCTCTCATTATTCGCTGCTCTTACAACCACGCTAGCCTTTTCTACTTTATTCTTTCGTGCTCTTCTTGTATATGCAGAGCTCGGGGCCGTGTTAATACAGAATAAATTTGCCAGTCAACATGCAAATGAAAAGACTATGGTGCCCACAAGCGTGACTCCAGCTGTTGCAGAGGGAAAACAGCCGCGGCACAAGAGCAGAAGAAGCAGTGCAGGTAGCGGATCCCATGGTGGATCTACAACCCCTAGACTTCCGGATACCGGTTTTGGCATCTACAGCGGTGGTGGGGTAGTACGCGACTTTGAAGGGGTGGGGGGGTGGAGAGTCCCAGGCACAGCTGATGAAGATGCCATATGGACGTCTCTGAATTCTCGACTCGAATTGCCTGCAATGGTCGATGGCCGCCGGCGCAATCATCACCGCTCAAGAACTTCCGGTAGCCTCACAACCGTGTCTTTACCTCTCAATTCGCCCGTGCGATCTCGCGCGAGGACCCCCACAAGCGTTCGAGTAGGAGGGAGTACCAGTCCCGAAGAGTATTTTGCCAACCGTGCACCCTCCAAATCGACGACCGCTTTGGATGCAGCCAACATCTGAAGAGCTCTTCTGTAACATAAACCCTTGGGTTCTTCTTCTGGGTCTTCTCAAGGGTCAACTGGCACGTAAATTGACCAATAAGATGTTTGTGCCTAACGTCTACTAAGAACATCAACCATCCGTACAGCGCTATGCGTAAGATCCAGGTCTACCGAGACGCCTTTCTGCGTTTCTACAGTACACACCAGGATACCCGTCTATTGTTGTACAGCGACGCCCGCAGACCGAATGCCCGGACCATCTCATGGGACGGACCGAAGTCCTCCGCTTCCAAAAGCACTACGCCTGCCTTTCGTGACGTGAAACTTCCTCCATTTCTTCTCGCATGACATGGTTAAATTCAGAAAAGCCGTCCAGATATACTGCGCCGGCAACTCTGAAGTCAGCGTCTGCTTTCTAACGCACCGAATTAAGTCAAGTCTGGAGAACGTAGGGGGAAAGAGGAGACATCCCATATCTACTCCCCCAACATGTCTTGGGGTGCAAGTTTCGGTATCGACAACAAAGGACTGCTCGGAAGTTTACGTACCATGGTGACCGGCTTTTTTGATGATCAGAACCTTGGCTGAGCCATTGTCAACCTCCTTCTCAGCGGCAGAGGCTGTCTTCCAAATTAACGCCTTCTCCTCCTCCATCTTCTGCTCAGCGGCGTAGCCACCAGCTATATCCATCCAATCATTCTCTCCGTACATAAGAACGACAGGAATGCCATTCTCTCGCTTTCGCACCGCCGACTCAACACTGGAAGTCGTCGATCCATCCGGTTGTAGGTATTGCCGGCCGACGCCTTGAATACGCCGTATAAGGGGACTCCGGGCAAATGCGCCCGGTGCCAATATGTACGCCAGGGCAAACTCCCCACTACCTCGCTGCTTGAATAGTGAGTACGCGTAATTGTGGAGAGCCTGAGCTTCTTCTGTTGCCAAGTGAGAGAATCGTCGAGATGTCCAGCCTGAGACGAAGCGGGGACCCAACGGGCCGGACCAGCGAACCAAGCTGAACGGAGAGATGTTCGCGTCCCACAGGTAGGTCAGCCATTTGGGCAGTGGCTTCCTTGGAGCAGTAGGTAGCGTTTTGTCTACAGTCTTGCTGGTCTCCTGTCCTTTCGATCCGGCATTTAGAAAGTTGTTCTTGTCTCCTTGCTTCGCGGATTCTAGTATCTTGGGGTTTGAGCTGCTCTTCACACCTTCTTCTTGATCTTGGCTGAACTCATTGGTTAGGGTGGAGTCTGTGGGTTCCGGCATTTCAGCATTTACGGCGTACGGATCCTCAGGTATCCCGACGGGGGAAGCCAGAATCAATTTGTTCAGATGTCCAGGGTATTTCAACGCATAAGCAACGGACATGTAACCACCTAGAGAGTGACCGACGAGAGTGAACCGATCGATCTTTCTTTGCACCCGCCATTCCTCTAGAGCATCGATAAACCAGTTTTCTGCTTC